AATGATGAATTTTACACCAAGATAACTGAAGAACTAACTTTGAAATGAAGAAGTTACATACTGAAAATTCCGAATTACTTAAAAAAGCTTAGAATCATTTAATGAAGGAGAATTTAAAGCTTAGTAAAAACGTAATAGAATCACACAGAAGGTATTTAATTACGTGATCTCGATTAACCTGCCTGAAAGGCCGCCGATTCAAGGCCGTATCTTCTTCGATTGACTTGTTGATACGTCTGCCTATTTACGATATAGCCTTTAGCGACAGATCCGAGTTCTTTAGATCTTTTATTGCCCGCGATCCCCATTCATAACGATTCACGAGATAAATCCGATCGGACCTGTTACGTCACCGATAATGGCGCCTCCTTTAATACGGTTTCGCGAAATGGCAATGTGCTGGTGTGCGTGATCTTTATAAATCATCGGCGTACGCGTAAACATGGGCGTACACTTCAATATTTTGTATTTTTATACATTTTTTTATTTTCTTCTACTTATTTCAGATCTAGTTGATCTGTTAGTTTTAAGGTTGCCTCTGTAGCAGTTCTTGGGAGATGAACTGCCAGCTGTCTTTCCATCTTTTTGGAGGTCTTCCGGCTAACTCTTACCCATGAGTTTCCCTTCAAGAGCTATGCGTGGATTTCTTCCATGCTCTTTATGTGTGCGAACCATTGCCTCTTTCTTTGCCTACCCCATCTCACTACGTCCTGTATTCCACATTGTTGTCTAATAGGTATTTGTGTTTCTAATTCTGCCTCTTCTAGTCTTCTCCATTATGGTTCTTAGGTTCCTCATTTCAGCATCCCTTAACATGCTTTTGGTTTTATTTGTTTCCTCTGGGATTTCTATGCAATATGTCATTATTGGTCTGATGCAGGTCTTATAAATTTTAATTTTGTTGTCTGTTCGCATGGGAAAGGGGTTTGACCGCACTTTTTACCTTAGACATCCTGACATGGCCGTTGCTCTGTTTATTTGGCTTCTCAGATCTTCTCCTGGATCGTGATAGTACGACATATCTATTCCTAGGTATCTGAACTGCGACACTTGCGCAATTATTTTCTTTTCTACTAGCAGTTTGCATCTTACCGGCTCTTTAGAAAAGGTTAAGCATTTAGTTTTTTTCTGTGTTTTTTTTTTAATTCTGGGCTTACTCCACGATAATGGCTACATCATCGCGTAACCAAAAGTGTAACACACCATGCTAACTCTGTTGTGTCCGGTTTATTGATGAATATCGGTTATTCAATAACCATATATATCGTGGTCACCTTTTCTAAGATGATGTCCATTAGAAGATTGAATAAGAAGCTTCAAGAATGATAAGAAGGCTCCTTGAATAATGTCTCCTGGTGTTGGTATGTCTCGTGTTAGATTATTCCCTGCTCTTACTTGAGTTATGTTATTTATTATTATTTAGCTTTCCGATGATTTTCACTATATTATCAGGCACTTTTTTCTCTTTCAATAATATCAAATAGGCGTACTTTATCGAATGCTTTAGTCAAGTCGTTGAAACAAAAAATATAGGCTGGTGTATTAAACTTTATTGCGTTTCCTTTAATTTGTTTAATGATAAACACGGCGTCTGTAGTTGATCTATTTCGTCTAAAACCTTGTTGCCTTATAATTTTTAAACAGAAATTATATAGCTATGTGTCTTCTGAAATAATGAAGTAAAAACTAAAATTATAAATATTCCATCCTCATGATCAAAGCCCGTAAATTGTTGCATCGAAATATTATAGGGAAATCCCTAAACTACTGTTCAAATATTGACATATTACAAACAAAACATCAACACGTGTGGTTTAAAATAAAAAGAGACAATCGAATGAATGGACTGCAAACACAGCTTTCAGCGACGATGTAACCTTAGAAAACAAAGAAAAAAAACAAAAGCGCGCCTCTGAATGGTATGTAAATCGTCGGCACGTGACACTTGCAGGCCACGGCGCCACTCTAATTAGGTAATGTGGTAATGTATTTATGACATTCCGTCAAAACATCCCGAAATCGTCGGGTTTTGCGAGCCCGTGGAGGGGTTAACAGTGAAGACGGGACGACGACAGGTGTCTGTAGTGGAAGCGGCGGACGGAAGACCCGTTTATGGTAATTTGATTTAGGGGAGACTTGTTTAACTTGATAGATTGTTTTCATTCAGTTTTTTTATTCTTTAAAAAAGTATCGTCATTTGATTAATGTTGTTTGTCAACAATTATTAACTTAACATTTTGTTTAAATACAAACCCTATATTTATAACTTTAATATTAATTTAATACTGTACTTAGATATGTGCCTGATGATGCTGTCTGAGCCTACTGTCTATAACTTTAAAAATATATAGAGTCTACAGTAACAGGTTCTTCTATTTCCAGTGAGGCATTTAAAGTAATGAAGGCGATTACTTGTACGCCATTTAAGGGATTTTCCTTTTTCTTTCTGAAAATCGCTTTCCATTTCGTACCCGCTTACCCGGTTAGAGTTTCCACGTTGTAACGATTTTTTATTATCTATTTTTATCGTAACAGCCTGTTTTTTGTCAGCTAAATAAAAATAAAACACAGCCCTCGTTTGCTAGGACAATGACGGGGATTTGGCAACAATGTATATGCGTCGCTGATGCGTATATTCGGAGTATACTTTTCGTTATAAAACAAATATTTTTACATTTAAAATTAGTAAAATATCGCAATAGGGACGCATAAATATATCGATATATTAAAACGTCCATACAATTTCAACTATCGATTTTATTTTAAATATAAAACCATTCCTAATTAAATAATACCTAGAAATACCAGACACATACACGTGATAAATCAGTGAACTCTATGTGCACTATAAGATAGACAATAATACTCTTGTTTATATGTATATTTCATATACAAGGACAATACTTATAGCATCATGATTTTTATTAATGATAACATCGGGAAAGTTTAATTAATATTCGATGTAAATAGGCTATTATAAAATTAATTATACATAGAGAAAAATTTCACATAAAAAGTAGTATAAAATTTGAAATCAAAAAATCAAACAATCTTAACTTAGTAAAATTAAATGCAAAATTTCCTATATCGGTATATAGAGTTTGTCAGTTAATTAGTGCACACACACGCACGCACATAGATTGTAACAATATTATTTATCGATTTTGACAGTGGACTATGTGAGCGCGCCATAAGGAGGCCGCCGCTTTGCGTTGGTGTGTATCCATGGCAACGGTGGGCGTAACACTCTGTATAACCTGTTTTGAACTTGCCTCCCTTCCGATTTGGGGGGACAGGCGGTCAGTTCGATGGATATACGGGATAATGAGACCCCCATTTGCTTCCAAAAATGATTTAGGAAAAAATTAAATTATAATTATAAATTACCATTATGTTTGACCAAAAAAATACCATTTACATAGAAACTCTTAAGAGGTTGATTTTTTAGGGTAGTAGACCTACTTAAGAATCTTTAATTGTTCTTGCAAACTGGTACGATTATCTATATAATCCGCGCTCTATTCAGTAACTGTTAAATAATCATTTCAATTCAGTAGTTACTCTAATTCTTTTAGTTAAATTCTACCTGACCATATTAAAATATATCTAAAGATCTATGTATATGTAATTGGGCTTAAATAATAATAATAGATATCTTTTAATCAATGAGGGAATCTATAGAGGGATAGTTTTGCAGATATACTTATATTTTAGTTATATTATGTTATTGTTTAATCGAAAATCACTGATAATATTAACTTCGTAGAGAGAAAAGTGGGTTGTATTATAACAAGTTTATAAAAAAATTATTTGTGATGTTAAAAACAAATCTACTTTAATGTAACCTCTTTCACGAAAATTAGGCGTATAAATAAATCCATAAATAGTACAATAAGTTTATTTCACCTGTTACTCCAATTCGGGAACCGTAATAATTATTTAAATATTCTCTACCTGGATTTACTAGAATATTTGTAAAATTCTAAATCTCATTATAAAATTATTCATTCATTGACAAAAAAAAACATTTTGTATAGTAGAGAAATAAAAGTGGCAGTGATAAAATTTTATATTTTTTAAATTTAATATAAAATATTTAAGGATACACAACAAATTAACTTGCTTATAAAATAAATATATTTAGGTATTTACATAAAATACAGTATATATTATTTACCAATAATTACTACTTAACACAATAATTAATTAGATATTTTTTGATTTGATCAAATTTTTCTTAATTATCCTAAAATTCAAATATGTAATATATTTATAATATTATCTTTATTGTTTCTTATTTTTTTTTGATAAAAATTGAATTTTTTAGTCAAAATATTAAAAGAGAAAAACTGAATTAAAAGGATGGGTAATTTCAGAAAAGCAATTGTTTTTCAGAATAAACTGTAACCGCATATGTGTGATTAAATTCTACTTAAAGCAAAAAGCAAACAGCGGAATTTCCCCAGGAACCCAAGGTCTTTTTGTTTTCGAAACTCCATAAAATATCCAATCAAAATCAGTTTCTAATCTAGAATTTCGCGTTTTCCGACTGCACGAAAATTTCGCGCCGAAAATCTATAACATCATTTTCGAAACTTGTAAATAATCGGTGTGGCGCCAACTCCCACTACCGACCCGTCTCAGAAGTACAAAGAGTAATGTCCAATCGCCCAACCAAACCTCGAGTCCGATCCACATAGCGTCGAACCAACGCGCACGTCCACAACTCGCTTGGCCGACCGCACACAAAACCATTCCAATGCACACCGAGATCCGCTCGTTTTCAAAACAAAACCACATGCCGAGATAACGTAGGTAACTAGATCAACTTTGACATTTGTCGCGCCGCGTTTCCACTCGAATTTTTGAATGAAAATCGTGGAAAATTAACGTGACAACCGTCGATAATATTCGAGGAAAGGTTAAAGTTGCATACTTCGAAAAAAAATCAGAAAAAAATTGAATAGTTTATGTGAAAAAAAAATATTTTTTTTACATACCTGAGTTTCAAACCACATTGTTAGTTGGGTCCGTGGTAGAGCATGGTCGCTCCGCACAGCAACATTTCGAACTGTAAAATCGCGCACAAGTAGAGAACTGAAGCGAGTAGGCTACGAATGGATCGAGACACTCGAAACTAGAGAGAATACAGCAGCGAAACAGCGTCTGTGTATGCGGCGCGAACGAACGAAAATACACTAAGTGCTGCTTAGTGCGGAGACCAGTCTAGCGTGGTCGGCACAGCTCGGTAGTGTTCGGCTTCGGTCGGCCCACCTGCATAACATGCCCGTTGCAAAAGGTTAGGTTGAAAAATACGAATATACGCTGCTGTCGCCTCTACCACTGTCGTTGCTGCTACGCGCGGACTTTCAAAACTTTTTACACAGCACCGCGTTGCCTGTAATATATAACGTTTATTATATTTTAACTTAATAAAAACACCCTCTAAAATGCTACTAAAACCAAAATCAGTCTTAATGGCACCTAATCAATGTCATTATTTCAGAATCAGACATGTACTACCAATATACTACTATGATAAACTTGTATATGTATATACACCTATATTTCCCTCTACTTTGGCCGCAAGCGCCTATTGTGACTTGAATTAATGTTTTAAAATTTTTAGTTACTTACTGCTTCTGTAATATAACTCTAAAACTTACAGAAAAAAATATAATTAATAATTACAGATAATAATTATTTATCAAAACATGTCCCAAATTCGTTCAAGATAACCGTACGCGAATTTTTGAAACTCATATACGCTATCAACAATTTACGTAGTCGAACCGTTTTCTCGATAATATCTCTCTTCTCTTTTTCTTTTGTCGTTGGAGAGACAGAGGCAGCCAGATAATTGACTCTTACTTGACTACAGAGGCGTGCGCAAAATAGCAGAGGCGTAGTTTATTTTAAAGAAGTAGTATTTTTACTCGGAGCGCGCGATGGAATTATAAGCGAATAATATTTGTTATCATGGAACGAAGTAAAGTTATCATCACTCTTGAGATTGTTTTTCGGAAATAATTCCAAAGTATTTTAATAATATTTTTTGTTTTTAATTGAATTTTAAAGACTTACATAATGATACCATTATTTTTATATATTTAAAAGAAGGATCTATTTGTTAATAAGCAAAAATTTATGGTTTAAATTTGCTAAATAATGGCAAAATCAATCTGCGGTGCTATTCCCCACTTTGCACAATTTTGCGTATACGACTAACATGTTTTGTTATATGGCTTTTTCGGAGAGCGAGTAATATTTGATGAGAGTGGTCAAGAATAGGTACCCTGTCCAGATTAGCTCTGGTAAAAACAATGTAACTTAACGTACTTCAATATATGTATATTTGCGGCCATAATAGAGGATCCCCAGTATGGGAAATATAGGTATATGATTATACGCTTATTCAATTTTATATAGTAGTATATTGTTTTTTCACTTGTAAAATACCGCTGATAAATTGGTTACTGGTGTTTACAAAAAATATCTATTTTATTTTGTAATTTTTTTCTAGTGGCGAAAAATCCAAAAATCTTTTTTGATTTAAATACTTTAACAATAATTGTAATTTTTTTTAAATTTATTTTATGTTTGACTTTTATTGTATTATTTTTTTAGGTCTACCCTATGTAGTTTGCGTTTTCAAAAGAGGTTAAAGTTTAAATGGAATTACTCGGTGATATACTTGGTGTTCCGAAATGCACACACCAAATCTGACCAGCTTATTATTATGATTTAAATACATCATTCAGGTGTCTCCGTTTATAGTTTATATCCATTTTATACTAAACAGGGTGACAATTAGAAATGTACGAATGAGAAATATTTCTTAGACAAAAAATTCTGTAAAAGGAAGATCTCAAATACATATCAGGACATCGGTAACATTGGTTTTTCCCGAGTCGCAATTGGATCCTTTATAACAATTTATCTGTTGACAATGGTCCCAATCTTAGTTGTCTATAAAATCATCTCATCCTTCAATGTGAATGGAAAACATTTGATTATAGAGGACCTTAAAATGAAAAACGAATACTATATGACAGGTCTTCAGAATTTTAATATACAAATTCTGGATGAAGTTGAAATCTATTTTTGTCTAAGAGTTCTTCAGTCTGAGCTCTGCAATCTGTAGCAGAATTAGGTTGTTTACTTACACAGAAGATGCTCTATTGGTTCCGCCTCATCATCGCATTTCTCGTAGTAGCGACATATCCGTCATTTACGGATAGTTTATTTTTGTATTTTACTCTGTTCTTATTATTTCTTAGTTCTAGTTAAAGTCAAAACTCATCCAGCCATCTTTTGTACTTTCCGTTATAAGATGTGTTTTTGGAATCTCATTAGAACCTTGAGATATTTGTTGTCATACAATTTCTTTTATTAGTAGATAGGGTTATTAGATACCTCTTGAAAACAGGTAACTTTTCAGTAATAGTAGGTAACTGAAACATTTATGACAATTTTTTTTCAATTTTTGTCATACTTTTAAAGACCGTTATCTCAAAGACTAATAATTGTACGATTTAATGCTTTGCTATAAAACTATAAAGAGAAAACAACGAGCATTTCAGGAACATTTCAAGGATCCAAGCAATTTCAAACGGCGAGCTTTATTAAATATTCCTTATTTTGGTTCCTGTTTGATCCTAAGAGATGTATTTCAGATTTTCACTAGAACATTTTTTGTCTAAGATATATTTCCGATTATTGCTTTCTAATTATCGCCCTGTATACTAGTATTTTTTATTTAAACAATATCAAAATACATGCAAGTTAAGGCAAACAATACTTTAAGCTAGTCAACGTATTATCAAAGTTCCATTACTCTATAATTCGTCCAAATTACCCTTAGATAAATTTGCCGCTAAGCCACCGTCTTTCAGAGCCGGAAAAATCCGGAGACCGCGTCAGGGACGCCATCCTCAGGCATTTCTACGCCACTTCCGGTGCCGTGCTTCTTATTTATTACCCTTCGACGACTTTGATTGCCCGCCGATACACACGCGGCCGCAGCTCTGAATGAAGAAGGACCTCTGGTGCGTAATTGTGTAGATTCGCTTTCGATTCAAGACGTACGGCGTCGATTTGCATTTTAATATTAAAGGAATAAGGATCTTTTTTAATGTTTCCTTGTGTGGATATTGGGAAGCTTTGAAAATCAAATGTTCCGTTCGGCTATTCCTTGTAACCCCTTGGAAATTTGTCATTTTGAAAGACGTTGGAATAAAGTAGGCACCTCCTGTTTAATAGAAAAGTATATAAAAGCCATATTTATAAATAATCGTTTTATTGTAAAAAACAATGAGAAAAAAATGTTTACTCAGAGTAGTAAAGGTGTATTTATATATAAAGTAATTTCTTAAACCATTCCATACTTACTGAGCAACTGAATCTGATTTAAAATTCCAATACTTATTACATACTAATAATATTTACTCATCCTATGTAACAGCCTCGATCTGTATAAATTCCATAAAAATTACGTTGCTTCAAGAGTCACGTTGCTTCAAGAGAAACTACACTACATGGCATCTACCTTTGTGACGGTTTCATTTCTTGAAAAAAATCTGTTTTGGAACTGTACAGAAACAGGAATCTAAAAAATAAAGTTATTTTTTTTTAATTCTATTGGGTAGAATCAAAATGGAAACCACCTTGTCAGTGGCAATAAATCGTAAAAGTCGTAAAGAAATCTGCTTAACCAACAAAAAATACTTATTATTTCAGTGATCTCCCCCTGTCCTCAGAAGCAAAAAACAAAATGAATAATGAAAAACTATTATAAATGAAACTACATCAGAACACTTTAGTTTACCGTTGACGTTTAGATGATAATATGACAGTTACCTTAAGAGACCTAGAAGAAGATCAAAACTGAGACGGGACCATGATATTAGGAAATTAGCAGGGATAACTTGGGCCCACATAGCCAACAATAGACAACAATGAACCCAACTATAAAGAGAGTATGTGAGGGAGGCTACACCATAATTGGAAATAGTTGAATAAGCTGAAAATGATGATGATGATTATGATGACAGAGTTACCCATTATCTGACAAACGGTTCTGAAACAGCAAAAGGTATGTGGGCAAAAAATCGAGGTTGTCAAGTTTAACTATACAAAAGCAAGTTTGTTCGATATTGCCTATAAATTTAATATATTTTTAGTTTATTCCACCATACCTACATAGTTATATATTACTATCTACAAATAATGTGTACAAATAAATAATTTTACACAGAAGTCTTAAAAAGGTTTTTAAAGGTACATTTTTTGTTTACTGAATACATAGCCAAATTTTGAACAAGCCGACGTTAAGTAATTTAAGAAAAACTGCATCTATTTTTAAATTAAAACTGAACAAGGTAACAATGCAAAACCAGGCAAATACCAGCGTACCTTAAGTTCTCATCCTATAAAGTTGTCAATGTCAAATTGTATTTTCAAAACGTTAGGCTTTTGCCTCATTCGAACAAGATTTAAATTACAAACATGGATGTTGGATACACTAACCGTAGGTACTATAACCTATTAGTGGAGATAGCACAGCATTCAAATTGCATTTGACAATGATAAAACCATAGGTTGCTAACTAAAGGTATGTTGACGTTTACCTTGTTTTGTATTGTTACCTGTTCAATTTTAATTTAAAAATAGATGCAGTTTTTCTTAAATTACTTAAAATCGGCTTGTCCAAAATTTTCAAAATTAGCATATATATGTATTCAGCATATTATGCAGGCCTTTGAGAATGTAGAATGAATGAGAGGGAGGGTTAATCACTGCGACCTTAAAGATCTCTTGTGCCCCCCTTGAGTCATCACACAGTCTATAACCCATCATACCTCTGTTATAGAGGAGACAGTCACAACAAATATTCTACCTCCGAGGGTACATACCCTTCCACGGTTGGAGTTTGGCTCTCCGTGCCCTTCACAGTCGAGGCGCTTGCTTCCGACTGAGGTACCTGTGAGGTATAGGCTGGAGGATCCGTCTCCACCTCTTTAACTTGGTCTCCCTTGAGACCTGATACCGGTGTTGTCCCGTATCTATAATGGAAGATATGTCTCTCTTTCTCTATTGTCTCATTGGATTTGAGGTCAATTCCTATTGTGAGGACCTGACCATGACCCACCTCCCTCGAGTTGATGACTCGCCAACTCGATGTCCTTACATTGAAGTTCTGACCCTGGATAAGGCTCAGCAGGTAGGTGGTGTCTTTCCTCTTGCTCCTCGGCAGAAAGACCGTGATGGCAGGCCTTTAAAACCCCTATTTATGACTGAGCTGTAAAATTAATAGGGGAGCCAATATTTGATCAGTTAAAAATTTGCATTGGATTTAACGTTTCCAAAGATAGGGTATACCGTAACCCGATAGGGGATAACCCGATAGGGTATGTCTAATATCTTATTTTAAATTCCTTGTTTGAGGAACTTTAATAATATTATCACAAATAGTTGATAGGAAGCTGTTTTGGAACATCTAGAAAGTTCTTAGTCTCCAAATGATGATGGTTGCGTTAAAATTGACATGTTTGTCAATGATAAAAATTTTCTCCATATTCAAGTCTCCGTATTCATGTCCAAATTCAAATCTTACTTGTCCTTGATCGGAATTTTTCAGACTATCCTCGAATTAACAATTTCGATAAGAACTATTCTTTTTAGAGACCTGTATATTTCGTATAACTAATTTTTTGGTTCAAATCTTTGGGGAAATACCCATACAAGATATTTATCCTTCAGAAGGCTGTGCTAATTGTAATAACGGTCATAATATACACTTGTGAGATAAGCGATATTACATATTTCAGTAATTTATTTATTCTGATAATTAAATATTTTTTACTCAAGCATTCATAAAAATAAATGAATATAAATGATTTTATTAAAAAGCATCAATAGAAAATAACGTAATTATCTCTTAGATCTCGCTAATTATAATCTTCGATCTAGCAACGGGTCTTTACTACGCGTATAAATATAGTAATGGCGCCGATACTATCCTTATTGGGCATGTAATTGTTGCATTCGCGTTCAAATCCAATTTAAAATAGATTTCCGACATGCGGTACTATGTCGACGGTCTAAGTTCAAGGTCATTGTGCGTGAATTTCACATTTTTGTTGTTTTTATGAGATATGTATGTTAATTATGGGGGCATTAATCTCGTGTGTAATTGGTCAAAACTGGAGGTGTGTATTTTTATCGTTTATTTTTAAATTAATACTATTTAAAATGCTTTATTGTATTACATAATCTTGATTGATATAGGAGATTATGGCAATGCACAAGTTATACGTAATTATTAATAACGAATTGAGTATGTTTGTTTTATTTATTTATTGATGGGCCATGGATTTATGAATGTATATTTTTTATTTGGAAGGTTATTTGATTTTAGTATCTTTCTGCGCGTCCAGTATTAAAAGTAAAGTGTTTTGGTGAATTGCAGTGAATTAGTGTTTTATTTTGCTGTTGTAATATAAAGGATTCTAACACCAACTGTTATCTTTAGAATACAATGGAGGAATATAAATAAGAGTGTAAAATTGCAGATATTTCTTCAAAATATTGTTATTTATCGTGATTTAAATTTTCATCCTTAACAAAACTTCCACAAAACTAAAATACTACTGATTGAGTAATTTTATCTGTTGTAGTTTTTATCATTATTACTTGACATTTAATAGCATCCTAAACATTTTAGGACTCAGAGACGGAGCAAGACTTCTTTGCTTCGAAGAAAAACAATTAGATATGAAACATTATTTGTTTTTTGTTACGGATTTATTATTGTTGATTCTTTTGGAATCGTCACCGAAACATTTATTTGGTTTTCGTTATTTTTGAATTTTTTAATACGCAATCCTAATTTTTTCTTCTGTGTACTTTATAGCTTCAGAATTGAGAATGATCCAGTAATGATTGTCTATAAAATTCTTTCATCTGTAGATGTATGTGGGAGACGTCAGATCATATAGGAACTTAAGATGAATACTGGGTGGCCCAGGGTTTTTTTTTCCTGAAACAGTATGGCTTTTCTTATTTCATCCATTAATATTTGTAGTTTTAGTATTGTCGTTTGTATGGTTTACATTTACAGGGACATTGTATTGACGTTTCCCTTGTTTTTTTTTGTCGATGATAATGCTATGATTAGAGTCATGTATGTAGCCCTATGTTTGGTTTGAATTTGTAGCTTCTTCTTTGATTTTTTTTTATTTGTGCAACTTTGAATTGTAAAAAGAAACTCTCTCTACTTTATATTAACTTTACAGTTTCAAAATGAAGGAGCCTTTACCCGAATTATGCAGTTTACTCACACAAAAGGTGCTCTGTTGGTTCTACTGCATCCTCGGAGTAGCGACATCCGTCATCTATTCTTAGGTCGATTTTGGTCGGATGATAACTGAGCGTATTGTGTTTTCAGTATTTCATCCTGTTCTGATTATTTCTGCGTTTCATTAAAGTAAAAATTCGTTCTGTCATCCAACCATCTATCCTTTACTTATCAGTATAAGATGTGTCTTTGGGAGCTCGTTAAAAACTAATATATTTATGGGGGCTATGTGCTGACTCTAGATAATGTGTTGACTCATAAGATCTTATGGTTTTTTTATATTCTTGAAATGAAAATCAACTATTTCTGAAACCTAAATATATACTTTAAAAATATTAGTGCTTTCATATCATTATCCTCACTATTTCATTGTTTTCAAACAATGCCCGACCGTCACTTAGAGTGTTAAGATTTATCGGAAAAAAGTTGGAAAAAAACTCAATTATCAATTTTTACTTTATTAATTAAAAATAACAAACTATACAACAATGGTTTTATTTGGATTTTGGCTGCTTTCGAAATCCCAAACATTTATCAGAAAGAAAGACGCGTATAGATCTCGCGACGAACGAATTACCCGCGCTGCTTCACTTATCGTACGTAATTTTTCCGATGCAGTCGCGCAACACCCGATATTAATATCGCAAACCGATTTTCCCTCCAAAAAAAGCGAATACTAATTAATCCGGGACTTTTGGTGGATGGCAAGTCCTCCTGCGTCCACCACCGCCGCACAGAGGGCCAGAAATACCCTTTAATATTGAATAAGTCCAAAATATTTTTATTAACATATCTGATAACTTAACACTTGCATAAACTTAGTAGACTTTGATCCATAAAAAAACAAAATAATTATTTCGATTGATCGTCATGGAGACGTCAAATAACGCGTCATTTTACGACAGGTTTGCCTTTCGCATTTGAAAAAAAGTTTGTCTTTAAAAAGTTTCAATTTCGATATTTTTTCTGTGGGAAATTATAAGCAATCAAATTTTTGTGATGGATGTAGGTGAAAGAGGTAAGTGTAGTCTGCTTTAACATATTTTATTTTGTTAGTAAATCTTACAACAAAAGGCACTTTAAAGGAAGACTCCTGAATTGGTAAAAATATGCCTCAAATCGAAAAGTTCAAATTTGCCACAGACTTTTTTTAAAATGAGGAAATATCATATTTTTGAAACTTATATTTTTGGAATATATAACAACTATATTTTATTTTGATAAAAAAAAATTCTGCCCCAAAGTGCCCCCCATTGAAAAATGAGCGTTTTTATTTGCTATGCATTTGTTACGAAAAGGTCAATACGCTTATTTTTATAGTATTGTGAGTCGTTTTTTCGGGTTATTATTATCTAAAATAATAATAATAATGCCGTGAAAGCCTACATTTATTATACAGGGTGGAACTTTTAACTGGAATAAATTCTGTATTACAAAATACTATTCATCTCGTAAGAAATTAAAAAAAATACGGGTCAATTTTTTTTCAATTTGCCACATTTTTTTCATGTCCAAATGACACTCACCCCCCATTTGGGGGTAAAAACAACCCCCAACTTTTTCTTTTTAATGTAAATGCCTTGTGGTAGCCGAAATCTAAAATTTACGTAACGAAATCTGAAAATTTGGAAGATAACACAAGAAAATAGACAAATAATCCCAGAAATAATACAGAATGTCGGAAATGAGTTTCATTTTAGATTAAGGTTCTGTCAGGAAAAAAATAGTGAACATTTTCAACAATTTTTTGCAATAAATAATATTTTTTTTACGAGTTTAATAAAATACAAAAGTAAATAGTGGGTCATATTCCTTTTTTTGTGCCCTTTCCAACGAGCTACCACAAAACATACGTTTACATTTGAAAAAAAGAAAGTTGGGAAGAATGTAGACATGAAAAAAATGTGGCAAATCGAAAAAAAATTGACCTTATTTTTTTATTTCTTTACCAAATAAACGCTGTTCTTAATATATAATTTTGATGGAGTTCTAATAGTTCTGATGGGTTTTTGCATTTTTAGAACTTGAATCCCATACGATTCAGTTAAGACAAATATTTGAAAAAGGCATAGAGAGGATCAAAATCAAAGAGACATTAAACTCTATTTTATGTATGAAGTGCATGAAGCAAAACAAGGCAAGAGTAATGCAATATTCTCGTCTTTATTCCCTTGATTTTCGAAGGAAATGGCTGGCTGCAAAAAGGACCAAGAGTAGATTTTTAGACTGGAACAAAACATGGCTTGACAGGGTCATAAATTTTGCTTGTGTTAAAACAAAAACTACTGGAAGACCCAAATCTGAGTTTCAAAATCTCAGTTACTCTGGAAAATTCCGAAGAACGGAACAGTTACGAAAAACGGAAACAAGCGAGCTGATTTTTGCTACTGAATTAAGATTAAGGTCTGATGGAAGACCAGAAGCTGCTAAATTATTATCTCGATCTCGTACTGTTTTATCTCCGAACCAAGAAATAAAAAAAAATAATCAAACTACTTCCAAAAACGCACAATCTCCATTAAGTTCAGATCAAGCTTTAGCGTTATTTCTTGACGCTAAACTTACTAAGCGATCATACCAACTTCTAAGAAATAACGCTAAAGAAAACAATTTCGACATCTACCCCAGTTACAACAAAATAAGAGAGGCAAAGCAGTTATGTTATCCGGAGAATATTTCTGCGCAGGAACATTCTGTGGTGTTACCTTTACAATCGCTACTAGATCATACAACTTGTAGGCTTTTGTCGACTTTGGATCTAGAAAACCAACATTTTGAAAACTTAAATTTTACTTTAATTACTAAGTGGGGAATGGACGGAAGTAGTGGACAAAACGAATATAAACAAGCATTTGAAGGCAATTATAGTGACAGTAATTTGCTGCTTACATGTCTGGTTCCTTTACAGTTAAATACCACAAACGGTCAAAGCGCAAAAATTTATGTCTGGCAGAACCCCCACCCTGCATCTACGGTTTATTGCCGACCTCTAAAAATGCAGTTTTTGAAAGAAACTATCGAAATTTCAAAAAAGGAGAAAAGTCATATGGACCAAGAAATTTTAAATTTATCACCGACTAATTTTAGATTAAAAAATAATTCGGTTATTTTGGTAAAACATGAACTATACATGTCAATGGTAGATAATAAAATGATTAACTCAATAACAGGTACATCATCCCAAAAGTGTTATTTGTGCGGTGCTTCACCCATTGAGATGAACGATATTGATGCAGTTCTGAAAAGAACTGTAGATAAGAACCATCTTTCCTTCGGAATTACATCCCTACATGCATGGATTCGATCATTCGAATGTATTTTGAAAATCAGTTATCGATTACAGATACAAAAGTGGCAAGCACGAGGTGATGATAAAAATGTCATTAAGCAAGAAAAAAATAGGATCCAAGCAGCCTTTCGATCTCGTTTGGGGATTATTGTGGATCAAACAAAACAGGGAGCAGGGACGACTAATGATGGCAACACAGCCAGGACATTTTTTCAAAACTATAAAGTGTCCGCTGAAATAACCAATATTGACGAAAATCTAATATATCGCATTTATGTGATTTTGCAAGTCATTGCTAGTGGCTTTGATATTAAAATTAGAGAATTTAAATATTACTGCATTGCTACAGGAAGACTTTTTCTGCATCTATATCCATGGTATAGAATTCCTGCTTCACTACATAAAATTTTTATTCACAGTGCAGAAATAATCAAGTCTGTTCCTGTGCCTATTGGGCAACTGTCAGAGGAAGCCCAAGAGGCCAGAAATAAAGAGTACAGAAGGGCTAGAGAACAAAACTCTCGAAAATGCAATAGAGTATCAACAAATAGAGATGTTTTTAATTATTTGCTTGTTACTTCCGATCCAAAAATTACTTCACTAAGAAAGCATAGTACACCAAAAAAGAAAATATTTTGCCCAGAAGCACTTAATATGTTCAAGTCATTTAAAACTACTTCTTCTAACCACAGCAGCGATGATGATTCGGATTAGCTTAGTAGTTTTGTAAGATTCGAAATAATTATTGTTATACTTTTTGTTCCTGTAGGTATTTATTATATTTGTTGTGTTTGTTACTTTATAAAAAAGTTTATTTTGTTTACTTTAAATTTGTTATTAAATTCAATATTGTTTCACAAAAATGGTTGGTGTTTCTTAAAGAATGGCATTTTTACATTTAGAAAAGTAATAGTCTTAAAGTTTTGGCAAATGACTTTGACATTAATACATAGTATTAGATCGAAAATTAAAATAAACTAAAATAAAAATATGTCAAAAAGTACCAGTTGACATATTATTGTACTAAAAATGTAATTTTTTATCAAACTGGTAAAGAAAGTTTGGGTGTGCCATTTAAAAAACGAAAGTTAGGGTCACTTCCGGTCAAACCGGAAGTGATGTAAAACAATTGAACACGCAGAAAAATCCCGATTTTTCTCTTATATACGCTCCCCAAATATTATTTGTTTACGTCAAAAACAAAAATGTTATAGGGGCGAGCCACGTTTGAGGTACACCCGGTATTATATTCAGTTCCTACTATACCCTATATAATTATGTTTCTACTTGTCCAATTTAGATATTTTTCACATTTTAATCAATATTAGCTTTTGTATCACGTTCAAGACCAATTTCTACGCGAACAATAATTTTTCAATAAAATAAGGCTACGCTGGCCCACTGTGCGCCGCCCCATCGGACATGACCATCGTCATAGACACCACCAGCAGGATCCCGAAGAAAAACTCGACGGCGGTTTTCTGCCTCTTTTCAGTCCAATTCGGTTTTCGTCCTAATAGCAAAGAGCAATGCCTAAGTTATTATCAATTACTGTGACTCAGCCGTTTCCCGGCCCGTCCACAATTCACAGCCATGCATAAAACATCGTCTTTCTCTGTCTATTCCGGCATTCGGATCGATCGTTGGACGGGCCGGGGACTGGTTAGGTTGGGTCGTTCGTTCGTCCCCACTCTAATAAGTTTCTTGCGCTGTCGTCTCGCTCTCTCCCACGGCCAACGCATAAATCGTTCCCTTTCTATCGGTTGACGTCACGCGGTCGCAGCGCACTGCTAGGCTACACCGTGCTGCTTTCACGGAAAGCTCGACCCTCCAGTCTATTTCTCTCTACAGCGGACCAGCAAAGGCGTGGCGACTAGCGCCGCGGCGACACAAAGACGATCAGGGCCGCTGTTTCGGTGGCCTGCTTCGCTAGTTACATATAACCGTGGAATGGATAATTTCGAAACTTCTACTCTCCGTGTATTTCGAGCATAATAATGGAAATAAGATAATCAAAATTTTGAGCATATTAAAAGAGGCGGGCGCGGTATATTTTTTCTTTCGAATTTCTCTATATTATCTTTATTTTCAAAAAAAAAGAAAAGTCTTGTCGCGTCCTACCTATATGTTGATGGGACGCGCTTTTTCAATTGGCAGATGGCGTGACTGTTGCGGCAGATAACTGAAATTTTGAGCGTAGTGTTAAGAGAGGCGAGCGAGGCGCACTAATTCGCGGTCACAGGCATGTCGCAGGTCATAGGGAATGAATTGAGTATAAGTCGCGTCTATTAGAGCGATTTACAACAATCTGAATGCCCATCTGAAGCAGTGGCGTAACTAGAAATTCTAGCCCCCCTCAACTTTCGGGGGTTTCATATCTCAATTTTTAACGGGTCGGCGGGGGTCCAAAACAAAGCTTCTATATCAGGAGCTACACCCCCGCAACTACGCGACGGGGATAAGCGAGGGTGTAGCTACGCCACTGACCTGAAGGATTATCTAAAATTTATTAAAAAGTATTTTTATATTATTAAAATATTTTTAATATGTTTGCTTATGCCTTATATTATGCCTGTTATACTTTACTCTTTGCAAAATTCAAGAGATGATTTGTTCTCTTCTTCAAATACCCGAGCTCTATGGTATGATCTGTTTGATGAAGAAAGAGTAGTTGCACTAGTAGAGCACTTTTGATAACTACTATTATAGACAGATAAAAAAACGGACGACTGTTTCAAAACGACCGACACGTGTCGGGTAGGTGTGAGTAGCGCAATATAAGTTCCAAGGGGGGGGGGCCACTATTTGGCCGTTATGGTTTGGACGTTGACGACTGTCGGGGATCGTAGTAGTATCTGCCAGATAGTCTCAACAATTGACCAACAATCGGATGACCTATACGCGACATAATTCGTACAAATGTGAATGCGTGTAGTAAACATTTAATCCTAATAATCGGATGCGGGTATCGTTTACCCCATTGCCGACTAAGTTTGAAATAAGGCTTAACCCAGTTTCACACATACGTGCCAACCGTTCAAACGAAACCGTTTACACAGCTTACTAAGTGTCTTGATAACACCCATGTGTCCACCGCTGGTTCCATTGCGAAGTTCCTGAAAGACGATGCCGGACGGGCCTACCCTGTCTGTCATAAGGCACTTTTTACTGTGTCTATGCGTGTCTAGATAGAAGACTAGCCTTTACTGATGAGGGTACCCCATTGTATTTAGCCCTTATTTCTACCTGCGGGGCTCTGTAGAAGTGGGCCGATTATCCCTAGCGACACGTGGGAATACTATGAGATCTAGTATTTAAAATACCACCGGTAAAGCTGTGGGGAAATACCCTAGCGACACTGGGAACATTAACAATGAAAGTTCCAAGGCACCAAACCCAAAGGGAACTACAGGAGAGGCGGCTGACACTTGCGTGAGATCATCCTCCACAAGTGGCACACAAGCTACCACCTTCTCCAGCAAGGGTCGGGAGCCTACCTCTAACGAGCTAGCTAACCTAACGAGCTCTAAGCGACACAAGCTATGGTTTTGTCTATCCGGCCTGGGTCAACCAGGGCGGGCTAGACGATCCTCTGTGTTAGCGGAGCAGAAGCACGGAGATAGCCCAGACTGCTCCACAAAGGACATGCTCCAGAGAGGAAGCAAAAGCGAAGCAACTCCTCAAAAAAGGGAGGGTGAAGGAACCAAGAACCAGCCTGGTGCATCTCCACCAAAGGGAAGAGAGGGAAAGAGAACCTCTCACCTCTGCTACGGCAAGAGCACGGAGATAGCTCAGACTGCTCCACAAAGGACATGCTCCAGAGAGGAAGCAAAAGCGAAGCAACTCCTCAAAAAAGGGGAGTGTGAAGGAGCCAGGAAACAGCCTGGTGCATCTCCACCAAAGGGAAGAGAGGGAAAGAGAACCTCTCACCTCTGCTAGGGCAAGGAGAAAAAAAGCTAGCATGGAAAGCTATCCAACACCGAGAGGTAATCGGGACGTATCACCAGCTTTGCCGGTGTTGCTGGCTGGACAAGTAAAAACGGCGCCGACGGTGCTGCCAAAGGATTACCCAGAGGCTACACTGATCACCGACCAGGAAACGGCTCTAGAAAAGGCGATACTGGAAGTAGTGGCGTCCTCGCCGTACCGGATCGCAACACAACGATCTACAAAATGTAGCTGAATATTGCCGAGATACACTTTCTGGTGGGCATGATCCTCATAGATTGTGTGTCTCAAGAATCAGCAGAGTAATTAGCGGCAAATCGTACCTAAGCTTAAAAATTGGCAAGAGTCGGGACTGGTTGCAATGAAGGAAGAAAACATTCCAAAAGGAGCGACCATTTTTCTGTTTAAGGTCTTTCTGTCTACGAGCAAGGAGAAAAAAAAAAGAACACCACCTACCTGCTGAGCCTTATCGACACTCATAACTTCAATGTAAGGACATCGAGTTGGCGAGTCATCATCAACTCGAGGGAAAAGGGGTGGGTCGTGGTCAGATCCTCACAGTAGGAATTGACTTCAAATCCAAGGAGGCAATAGAAAAATAGGGATATATCCTCTATTCTAGATTCGGGACAACACCAGTATCAGGTATAAAGAGACCAAGTTAAAGAGGCGGAGAAAATGGACACAGATCATCCAGCCTCCACCTCACGGGTACCTCAGCCGGAGAGAAGCTCCTCGATTGTGAATAATACGGAGGGTCAAACTCCAACCGGGGAAGGTTGTGTACCTTCGGAAAAAGAACATCCGTTGTCAGAGGAGGATGGGATATACCCTGTCCCCCCTTATGACAGGAAAAGGTATGATGGGTTAGACGGTATGAGTTATAACTCAAGGAAGGGGGCACAATAAGTCTCTAAGGTCGCAGTGATCAACCCCCCCTCTCACTCATTCTGCTTCCAATATAAAATTTCCATTGCCAAGAGGGTAGCTAAGTATGGGCGCACTAATCAAGACCTTCGTCAAATTTTAGAATGTCTAGTCACAATCTAAATTCCAAGAGAAACGCTTCTCTTCCTCGGTAAGTCTTCTCAATGGTTTAGCGATGGTAGAGAAACCCTGTACATCTCGGCGATAGTATGGGCATAATGGGCTATTAGTCTTACTTTTTACTATATTAGTCATTAGTAAGAGGTTGCTGGCGCGTTGAACGAATCTTTTTCTTTCGCTAACATTTCCGCCGTTTGCACTCTTTCCACTTCATTCTTTTTTACGGATAGGTCCACACCACAAAGTTTCCAGTCATTGGCGGCTCGCATTTTTCTTTGATCTACTCAATTTTACCGTCAGAAGATGGAAAGCGTTCGTTCGCGCTGAAACCATTCGTCATGACGTACATTCGCTACGAATGCACGTCCACACCTGAGAAAGATTTCCTCGCGAATGCGAACGAATGGTAACGTTCTTCAGGTCTGTCCTCGGCTTTAGAGCGGGCCTAGTTTCAATAAATTATTATATTTATTTTAAAAATAAGTCCCTATATTAGTAGGTAGTAAGTTAGTCAAATACCTATTTGATTAGGAAACGGACTTCCATAAATTAATTTTACTTCTGCCATGATAATCGGCTGCTATTGGTTAAAAATTTCGATTTTTCATCAGCATCACATTTTGTACAGTTATGTAAAATTAAAAATTAAATCTAAATTTGTTCACACAACGAGGAATAAACACATTTTAGTCATTTACATACACTAAATGTCATTTACTAGAGATAGATTGGACACTGAAACAAATGGGTCCGTCATTTAGAGCCACCTGGTGATCCGGAAGAAACTAATGGAGAGTTTTGGCATAACATAATTTTAGCGTTCCGTTACTTATTAATGCTAACGTTATTCAAGCGCAAAATTATTCCTTGTAAAATATAAAATAATAAATATAGACTTTTTTACTACGTTTTATGTTTTGCTAGATCATTAGAAGTGTAACATAGTCAAAACAAAATTAAAATTATGAATACATACATTTTAAACACCAACAATAGCGCCTATTTTTTTGATTTATCAAATAAATTATAATATAGTAAAAATAGTATAGACTACTAATTAACTGTTACTAAAAATACTATATATTACCAACTATGTACATACTTACTTATTTATGATTAAACTATTTTTTTATTTGGTTCATAAATTTATCATTTCTAAAATGTCAAAATGACTTTAATAAAAAAGTTTAGTATCAAACACCGAAAATGATGATCTACTGTAAATATGAGAATGCACAAAGTAATAAAAACACAAACTATAAACACAGATAACTGAAACCACCGAACTTTCCGACAAATCAAGAATATCTGAATTAATAATTATTTTAATAATGATTTAAAAATAACTTGACGGATCACCAACATTTTGTCAACTAGACCATGGATGGTAGTCTATAAAACAATTAACAT